AAAAAATAGGGGCTAATTGAATAATTTTCCACAATTTCACCAAATACGTTTATACTCCACCGGTTTTGGCGATCGATGGTTCGGAACTTATAGGTGTTTTCAGTATCATAATAATTAGAATTATGACGGTTAACTAATCCATTATTATTGGAAGTTGATTCGTTTGTGAACAAAACATATTCAAAGAAATTTTGGTCTTCTCCAACTTTCTCAAGGGACCATAAAGAGAACTCCAGTCTGTGTTCAAAATCCCTTCCATATAAATTTTGATGCATTTCGATATGATATGGATGGTATTTTCGAGTCTTGAGAATTCTGCTCACACTGGATTGACTCATACTCTCATGATTTAATTCTGGTACTTCGAAATTATTTTCCTCACTGCCTCTCAGTAGTTCTAATATCTCCCGTTTATTATACTCAACAATATTATTCTCTCGGAAACGGGCTAACAATCTTGTCCCTGTCAGGATACTTTTGTGCATATACCCTTGATGCTGATAAGCAATTTTCGTGACACTCTCCAATGGTTGAAATCATATCGACTCTCTCATCAACAGTATCCTTTTACATTCTCTATAAACTGACAAATCAGTGATGAATTAAATATCCAACTGACAGATTACTCAGCTAGCTGACATTAGCCATCTTGATGTTATCATTTGTATCAAGTATTTCTGTATTGGAGATCAGCCATCTGGATAAAATGTAGTTATTATGGAAATCAATAGTTTATCTCGATTATATCAAAGAAACTGCAAAAGCTCTGAAAGTATGAGACTATAGTATATTTCCCTATAGTATGGTTTGGGAAGGAATTGAATCTTGCATTACTATGAATGAAAAAATACTGGGTGTTCTATTTGAATTAACCAAGCTATCAGAGTTTGAAGTTACAGTGAGAGTACCTGGCGATATAAAACAGCCCGTATAGTATTTATCGACCACTTATGCCCCATCTATCAGCTCGAAGTACTCGAAGTATACTGTTGAAAATTGGTACATTCAAATTATCGTGCTTCAATGATATTGAGGTTATGTTGATACCTTACATTTTTAGAAAAATTGAAAAATCTCGAAAACTAAAAGAATTAGGTATAGGAAAACCACAGCAGTCAGTTTATCTTTTATCTTGGAATTCAGAAATGCAATAAAATATAGGGTGTTCCATTAAAAAAAGTACAACTTTGATATGCCACCTTTTCTCGAGACACTCTGTATTCATCACTCCATTTTCAATATGTTGTCCAGATCGACATAATTTCGCCTGAATGAAATCATTGTTTTTTCTGTCAAGAGAGAAAAACTCAAAGTCGTCTCCACAATTTTCAATGTATAATAAGGCAGTCAATCCTGCTTCAATATGTTCCGGCCATTCAAATGGCCATCCTCAGTCAAAATAGCGGAGTGTATGTGGAAATTACTTCGAAGTATCGTGAAGGCAGAAAAATCATTACTAAACCATCATTTATTATTTGTTTTATTCATTGAAAATGGAGTGATGTAAGAGGAATTGGAAGGAAGGCAAAAAGCTTCTTCAGCGTCCCATGAAGAATTTAACTTCCCTCTTGGAGGATTGGGTTTTTTGCCTTCCTCCCAATTCCTCTTACATCACTCCATTTTCAATAAATAAAACAAATAATAAATGATGGTTTAGTAATTTTTTGCCATCACGATGCTTTGAAGTAATTTTCACATACACTTTGCTATTTCGACTGAAGATGGCCATTTGAATGGCCGAAACATGTATCAACTTTCAACCTTATTGAAGCAGGATTGACTGCTTCATTGAACATTGGAAATTGTGGAGACGACTTTGAGTTTTTCTCTCTTGAAATTATTTTTCAGGAAGTTCAAAGTTTGGCCGTTAAAGCCCGATGCGTTCAGCTTGACTCACCCTGTATAGTGATTTTTGTGTTCGACATGTAAGTTTGTATATATATTCCTCACTTCATCATCTTGTATATGATTTCTTCTAATTCCTATTAGTTGTTTTCTGAGAAGATAATCAGCCGATCCTGAATACCTCGAAAAGCTTCAGTATTATTCGACCCCATCCGATTTGTTTTGTTCTGGAATGTCATTGAATTCTTTTTTAATCTTCAAGTAAAATGAACAATTTCGTTATCATCTTCTTCTCCCTTCATGGTCAGAACACGGAAGTAGTGATATGCGGTCCTATCGGGGTATATGTATTTATGTGAATGTTCCTGTCGTGCTTCTGTGTTTTGATTGACATATATTTGAGAAAATGGAAACAAATAACCTCGAAAATGCTCGTTTCTAGAGATTGAAAAAATGAAGGAAGAATTCTGTTTCAGTCGTTTGGAACTGTGATCCTGATTCTTCAGGTAGCACTCATGGAATGGTTTGAATAAATAATTATCCAGACCTGACCTCAAATACTTGAGCCTGTTTCGGAAAGATTTGTTTCGTCTTCTGCGATTATTCAACAACCAATTCAGCATCAAGTGATCCAGACTACACCAAGGTTCGCGATTTAAGACTACGCACTCTCTTGGCTTCTTGATTCTAGGTCGATTCAGCAATATTGACCCCTAGTTTATTATTAGCACCATGGTAGGCCTTCTGTGCCTGTATACACTGCTGCCAACCAGGCCACCGCACAAATTCAGTTGTGGGAGCAGGTGAGGTTGATCATTTTCATGAAAAATCTGGCTTTAGCAATATTGTCACGATGAAAGGGTATCCTGATTTTCCTTGAAAATGAAGTTATTATGAATATTTCAACGTAGTTTCCAATAATGTTAGTGAACGTTTCTTAATAATAATTTCCGATATTGTCGTAAATAGAGGTACCTGAAATATACTCTAAGGCAAGATTATTCTTTTACCTAGCATGTATACAACTGGAAAAAATTATTATCTGATATTTGCAATTTCAAATTTCAGCCTTGCAAATTTTTCCGTGCAAAATAAATTTTTCCGATAATTTATATTGACATTTTTTCATTTTGGGCCGATTTCTCCAGACATACTGTATGAAACATTGAAGTACCTCTGTTTTTTCATGTCGTATTACTATTGATGAAGCATATTCAAACTGTGCGTTCTGCTCACCGTGCGTAATGAGCTACCTTCTGAAGCTGTGTATATCTCGTTTGTTCTCGCCTATTTTCGATAGTGGTCGTAGGTGGAATATAACTATCAAGATATAAATATTAATGTATAGTAGCAGTCAATTTCTTCAATTTCAGATCATGAGGTGCTTCAAACTTCAAGAATCATCTGTATCAGTGATGTTGGTAATACTTTTCTCACACATTGGTTCCACGACTTTATAGCCAGAAATGTAGTTGTTTTCTGTTGAATATACCTAGAATGAATTGATTTTATCATCAGACACAGAATGCGAAGTCTCAATGAATTCATATATAAGTTGATAATAATATCCAATTGTTAGTGTACATAAAATATCTGAGAATATTCGTTTTCTACACTCCCATACTCAATGAGACGATTTGAACTCGAACGATGTTAAATTACTTTTACAGACCTGAGATCACAGAATTGTTATTGGATTTTGTCAATTCAGAATGTTTCTTCACGCCATCTGTGATAATCATCAATCATCTATCCGACAACTGAAAGACGAACAGATTGTTGATAGTCCCTCAGGAGTCAAATGGAGCAATGGGCCGTAGGAAGTTATCTCTGACCAAAGCGTGAGAAATGTGAATTCATAACCTGATGATAGAATCATATTCCTCTGTTCTGTCGGCCACACGATGAAATTATTCACGTGAACTGAGGATCCTGGATCAAGCCTCTTATTTACTGCATCTCGTTTTTTGCATTTGTTCAATTATCAAACCTATGATTGGGTGTCACCAATCAATCACAACTGACAATGACGTTGTTCCTTATTTCAAGTCATTCAAACGAATACCAAATGCTATGTGCTTGGAAAGCTGAATAACAAAAAAAAAATTGAAATAAACGATCGAAAATTTCCATGCATAATGATTCATCTTTGGATACGAAGTAGGTTCAATGAAGGCAAGTGACGACAGGATTTCAAGCGTAGTAATTGCCACCCAACTACCGTGTTATATCCCAAATTGAATTCATGTCTGATCAAAGGTTTCATTACCCAATTTCCCTTCACTGGTAGCAGACAGACAGTTTATTTACGAAAGGAGCTACAAAGGAACATGAAAATCTAGCTAAAGCAAACATGTTTGTGACAGTGCCTTTTCATGAGTCCAACATGAATTGCGACACAGCAAGAGTTTCGACAAAGTCGAACGGAAACAATTGCTCTATGTGCACACGGTCATTCGTCATTCTATGGAATGTTAGAATATCCTGAAATGTGATATAATAAATAAATTCACCACGACAAGATTCCACATCCACAACTAACGTGTTATATCCCAAATTGAATTCATGTCTGATCAAAGGTTTCATTATCCAATTTCCCTCCACTGGTAGCAGACAGACAGTTTATTTACGTGAAGGAGCTACAAAAGAACATAAAAATCTAGGTAAAGCCAACATGTTTGTGACAGTGCCTTTTGATAAGTCCAACATGAATTGCGACACAGCAAGAGTTTCCACAGAGTCGAACGGAAACAATTTCTCTTTGTGCTCACGGTCATTTATCATTTTATGAAATGTTAGGATATCCTGGAATGTGATATAATGAATGAATTCACCACGACAAGATTCCACATACACAACTAACGTGTTGTATCCCAAATTGAATTCATGTCTGATCAAACGTTTCATTATCCAATTTCCCTTCACTGGTAGCAGACAGACAGTTTATTCACGTGAAGAAGCTACATACGAAAATAAAAATCTTGCTTAAGCCAACATGTTTGTGACAGTGCCTCTTGATAAATCCAATATGAATTGCGACACAGCAAGAGTTTTCACAAAGTCGAACGGTAACAATTTCTCTTTGTGCTCACGGTCATTTATCATTTTATGAAATGTTAGGATATCCTGAAATGTGATATAATAAATGAACTTACCACGACAAGATTCCACATCTTTGCTGCCTCAGCCACCGTAGTGCAAACAGTGCTGCATCCAGCAAGAAGCATCAGCTTCGTCGGCTGATTGTAGAGAAGATTATACATGACACTTGCTCCGAGTCCGGGTTCGCACTGCAAAATTTGCATAAATTAGTGGACGCTTCTGATATAATAGTATATTAGAACAAATGGAATGCTGTCGGGAGCGTGCAACAGATTGATAAAACTAATGGTTTTCTTAAATTACATAATTTTCCAATCTAAGGAAACAGAATTTATATTACAGGCTGATTCACGGTGAATGGCACATTAGACGTTTGTGGAGAACGCATCGTAGGGTTATTCTGGGGATTTGGTTCCTTGAATGATTAGTTGTGTTCTATCGACCTCAAATATTCTCAGCACTGCGACGTTACCGCTTATATTGAAAAAAATCAACAATTTTGATTTTTTCAAAAGGACACCCTGTATGTCATTCCTTGTACAGATCCTCCCTCAAGAGCTAATCTCATCGATTCACCACACTTAGGGTCTAGCGGGAATAATAACAAAGATATAGGGTGTGAAAAATTGAGATTTCTCAACTTTGAGATTTTTTCTTTCGAAAATATTCATAATTGATCGAAACGGTCTCCATGTCTCTACCTCAACATCTCACGTACTCTCAATTGATAGTTTATCGAGATAGATACAGGGTGGTCAAAAATCTCAATTCTGAACCACCCTGTATTCATTTGAATTCAATATCAATTATTGATAGTGGATTGAACAGTTCTGACCTATTATGAATAGTTTCGACCAAAAAGATTCCTTCAGTTGAAAAATCTCGATTCTTCACATTCAACTCTGTGATTAATACTGCTAGACCCTTTGAAAAATCGAGGTTGTTGTTACTTTCCATTATAAGCGGCAACGTCGCAATACTGAGAAAATTTCAGGACGATAAAACACAACTGATTATTCAATGCACCAACTTTTCAGAATGATCCTGAGTTGCGTTAACCAGAAACATCTAATGTGCCATCAACCGTGAATCAGCCTATATACTACTGATTATGAACAACAACATACACATTTTTGGACATAATTCAGCATTGGATATATTCCTGGTCACTTCACGTTCATGAGAACTGTGGAAACGTTTATTTTGAACACAAAACTATTGGCTAAACAGAATAGCGTTCTAGGTGGTTCAAATATGTAAAATTAATGGTCACAATAATAATATTCAATGTTGGATCCAGTATTGAAATTGATTCCCTATGAGAAGAATATATTCCGCTCTAGAAGAATTTATTAAGGAAAGTCCATTATCACCTCAACTTGCTTACCCTTTCATGTGTTACCAAAAACAATTAATATACATCAGCACAAATTGGTACAACAATGTAATCTCTCATTTTCAATAATATTCATCGACACCATCAAGTTGAGTATCAAATGCAGAATGAAAACAGGAAGAAACAGCATAACATTTTCTATAAACATGAAAATTTACATGACGACATCATCATGAGACGTATTTCAGTCAACAACAGACAAGAGATTGAGAAAAAAACGTTTTAATCTTCTCCTAAAGATGCTGAAATAGTTAGCAAAACACGTGTCAAGGCGTTTAAAATATCAATTTGGTTAGTAGTTAAACCGAGGGTAAAACAGTGTAGTGCATTATCGTGCCGAAGGTTCCATCAGTCTTCGATATATATATGGATTTTTTTATCGCCAAAAATATCAATGGGTTCCAGTACTCCCACCCTGTCAAATCGAAATTTCAAATTTCACTAATTACATTACGGTATGTAGGAAATGGTTTGATATGGTACAAGTGTTCTAAATGTGAATTTAGTATAGAGTATTTTCAGCACGAACGCAGGAGAGTGGAGCGAGTTTCTATAGGGATTTATAAACGAGTAACATACTATAATTTTTCTACTAACTCATAATTCCTTTCTCCGACAAGATTCCATAATTCGGAAAATCAGATTATAACCTATCTGCTAACCTACGAAATAATTTGAAGGGAATAGGAATTGAGACACGTATGAGTTATATTGGTTGTAGATGTGCGTCCAGTCCGAAGGATAGATGATTTTTTATTGAAATGGCTTGTTCACTGACCTTTGTATATAAGATTTCATCTTAGGTAGTAGATAAAAACTCTCCGATTCGCTGAGGTGTACCCATATTCTGATTGCATGATTTTCTTTACATGAATATTGTGTTTTACGTTTGTTGCCAAGAGTTCTTGGAAATATGCAAGTATCTATACCTAAAACATTCTCTTCTATTTCACTTTCGACTACATTTCGCATAAAACTTCAATGAATAATGTTGATACGAACAGAAATCAATTGAATAATTCTGATTGCAACAAAATTCGAAAATGACAGTTGACAGTTCCTACAATGGGCTTATATCACAAAAAATTTTTATTTCTTAATTCGATAGAACTCACCCAAACTAGCTCACCACCGCAAACCGTTTCTTGCTGTGAGCTCCTTACGTTTTATAAAAAATTATTGGAATCCCCGATTTTTCGGACCTCTGAAAACGAGGCGATGATGTGACGTCAAAACCCTAATACTGAAACAAGACTATTCCAGACAGAGATGAATGATACATGATTTGTCACGAAGCACCAAGATTGGTGAATCGGCGAGTTGATTTTTGGGACAGAACAAGAAGAAGATCAATTCTAACCTATATTAAGTTTCTGCAACTCTCGAATATTCTCAGAAAGCGAATATTAAATTGAAATATTTCGACAAAAGTATGATTGAGAAATGTTCTGTGCCTAATTGCAATGAAAAAAGCATCATTTAGCTGGGAATTTTGAGGACAAATTTCGCCCCTCACTGGGTAAACACAATATTATAGTAGTAGTTTTGCTTTGCAGAAATTCATAGGGAAATTGCTTGAAGAATGAATGATCCATCTCCTAGAAGAACATTCAGGAAGATGCAAGCAGTATCTAGTCTTGGGAATAACATTGTCTCATACCAATTGATCATATTGTTGCATAGGTAAACATATCGATCAGTGACTGATTTAATGAGGATTCTCCCTCGAAATCTCGATATGATGGGTATTCTGATGTTCAATATGCTTTCAGGTGAACAATTTTCCAATGCAACTATAATAGGTACAAGCAATGGAAATTGAATGAATATTGTGGAACTCACCTTTCAGATTTTCTATTCCTCATTTCAGCACTAAGGAACTGTGGAGATTTTCTAGTATGTTAGAGACATAAAAATAATTAACCATTTCCAAATCAATTTTCGGTAAATTATTTGATGAGCCTTTTACGAATCCTGATTAAACGTTCATGTTTATATTCAATATATCAATAATATGTACTAATATAATATAAAGCAAGATTTGGAGATTAATTTCATTACGTGTCTTCTCTTTTTATTTTAGACGACATAATTAACTTCGGAATCGGAATTCGAGACTCGATGCAAATGCAGCTCCATGTGAAACGGGTCAACAAAACAATGTTGCTGCGTTCATGAAATATATTGGATTATTGTGAAATTGTCATGCTGCAAATGGTTTTGAGATTGAGACATTTCGGTGTTTAGTGATTGTTTATATTCTAATGATTCAACCTACCATCGACAAGTTGAATATATTTTTTTGCAGTAGTGGTAGTTGATATCAAAAGATATTTCAATATCGATTTCGATCTCTCGGATATTCTGTTAAGATGATATGGCAACAGTGATAAGTGTAACACATGGGTCACTCTATGGGTCACGCTCATTGGTTCCAGGCGAGATGAGGTTTCTACGTCATAAAGAGGGTCCATTTCCAGAAGGTACTATTATTTATGTCCAAAAATAAAACATTCCAGTTGATTTTTAGATGGAATTATGTCGTCAATCGTTATTTATGTATAAAAGGATCATTATGAACATGGTTTGAGTTGAAAGTTCTACTAAGGTGTACACGCCCACCGGACCCGACTCAAACGACAGAGGGTATGTTAAAAAAACTCTGTTGCCATGGTAATGTGTTTGATATTTTGAATAAATCACAGATGGTCAATACTTGATGATTTCCTACATATCCGTACGTTACATGCCATTTTAGTTATGTCAGTAAAAAAAATAAATTTCAAACCGCTATAACACGAAATTTGTGAAATTTCATCAGATCATTAATCATATACATCGCATTATATCAGAGAAGACTAGGTTCATCAAAACAATACCTTCAATAATATTGATGCGCATAATGTTTCAAGATGCGAATGGTTATTCGAATACGAAAATCGAACACTTGATGAGGAAAATATTGGGAAAATCATAATCCAATGCAGGTAACCACGGAAGACAGCGTTTCGCCGCTTTTATACCACTATTCTCCCGGCAAAGCCCGCAGCCGTCGTTACGATAACCGTAAATATGAATTACCGACTGATACCTACAGAATACAGCAGCCGGCATTCTCTTCATTTATTGGAATATAATCTTGGAATTCACTGGAAAAATTAAATCGATTGCTTCTTCCTAACCCAAGAGACATCTCTTACCAATTATATTAGAAGTGATGAAGTGATAAATCGATACATATAGGTACTGTCATAATAGGTTGAGTTGAGAATTACATTTTGCTCATCGCGTATGAAGAGTTGACACCTCGTTTGTTAACAAAAAATAGTCGATTAATGTTCATCATACAGCGCTTGACAAAAATTTTGAATTCAGGACACCCAATCACCAATGACGTTTCTATTACTGACACAAACATAGGTATGTTGCTAGGCAACACTTTTGTTCCAAAGGGCTGAAGTATGGGCGTCTTGGCCGAGTTTGGCCATGCGCTGAAATTCGCTTGATAGCTGTACACGATGCGAAGCTACTGTCGGTTCGATTCCAGCTATCGGCTGAGCATATTTATTCGAAATTCTGTGATTCATGGTTGTAATCCTGGAAGCACCTAGATGCCCTAGAACTTGTTCGGTTTCCAATATGAGTTGTAGGTCCCGCTCTTTCAAACATCGCACAAGTTTCGACTTCTAGGAAGTTCGTTCCCAACTTTGAAGTGACGATATACGAATTTTACAAAAAAAAAAGGGAACTTTAGCTCCTGGGAACTAAAAAGGATGTATCAGGTCAACAAGA